TAAATAAATAAATGAATAAATAAATAAATGAATGAATAAATAAATGAATGAATAAATGAATAAATGAATAAATGAATGAATGAATAAATGAATAAATGAATGAATAAATAAATGAATGAATAAATAAGTAAATGAATAAATAAATAAATGAATAAATGAATAAGTAGATAAGTAAATATGTAGATAAATAAATAAATAGATAAGTAAATATATAAATAAGTAAATAAATAACTAAAACGAAAATCGTTAACGTGTTAACATGAGAAAACTGCAGAACGGAGTGAAAACATAATTTCTGTTGACAAAGAAGTAATGACTTATTTGTATCCGAGAACAATTTCAAGAACCTAGATGTTTATGCATCGATACGACAGATGTTAAATTGTTTTCAATGGGAATCGCTATGAATCATTCTTTAGACAACCAACTGCGCGTAATACGCGAGTTTCACCTAATAATGTGTATACTAAACCGGTCGTAATCTATTTTCCTTTAGAAACGAAAATTAATTTTCCTACAGTCGCGCGGGAAAAGGAATTACAGGAATCAAGAATTCTCATTAAAATGCAACTCGGTGAAAAATCTCGTTCTATTTACGTTTTCCATTACTTTATTGAAGATGAAGTTGGTCGAGTGTTTGTAAAGAACGTGACACGAAAAACTTTCATTATCTCTGCGTGATCATTTGAGAAAATTTTATCACTCAAATTAATAACTGCGCGACCTGCAATAGAATTCTATCGATATGTTACAATATATATCGAATAGATTGGTTGAATGGAGTAAATCACATTAATTTAAACGATACACCGAGAACACATGTTACCATTCTCCCATGTAGTAAACGTTATTGTTCGATACGTGACCTTCATCAATGTGCACCCGTGCGCGATTGGAGCATCATCGAATACAGTTTTTCCAATATCAAAACTTCATTTAACGTACACGCGATATCTCACTTGTAACGAAAATTATATTACCCGATAAAGTTTTACTCTGTTCGTGCATTGCAACATTCGATAGGCGATTCTTGTAGGTTTTCATGCGATGAATACGAATCCAAAAACATTCTTCTGTAACTCTAGCAATTCTTGATAAATTTTATGTTAGAGATTAATAAATTTAGTGTTTGATAAGTATATACGATCGACATATGTTGACGTATTTAACATATTGCATTTTATTTGTTATTTGGGTAACGATTTTGTTTTATTTAATAAAAGTATTATTGTGTTTTAAAAACCCATACATTTAAAGTCTGAAGTTTTTGTGCGTTAACTACGCATTATATATATGCTTCTTTGAGAAAATGTTATAGCCACATTTTAAAAAATGGTATACAGTGTACATATATTTTTATGAAATTATAAATATTTTATTTTTAACCATTTTTAAATTGAGAAGGATACCTTTCACACAATAATGTCATGTGATATTTTCCAGTTCATTTTGAAACTTAACATTTGAAACAAATGAGAAACCAACTGAAATGAGAATATAATATCAATTACAATGATAAAAATAATAAAATCATTTGCTGCAATATACGTGCAAAATACATCATGTGTATCGCGACATTGGTCCGTTATGGGTTAATGCATATCTCTACTAATTCAAGCGACCTTGAACTGTTTATCCGTCCAAACATTACCCCCTCCCTACATTATTAATAAAAAAATGTTTTTATAGGTCTCTTTGATAACTCTTACTTTATCAGTTCTATTTTATCTCATACTATAATTATAGTATTCTGAAACTCATAATTTTTAAAACACATTGAACGATATCCGATGAAATTGTTGGATAAAGGTTTCACTTTCAGAAATATCTATATATGTTTAAATATTTATGATACTATAAAAATGTATACACCTAACCCTCCATTTACGAAGAATATCCGTTTCACGAGAATTCATTTTACACGAATGAAGATCACATAAATAAAGTCCGTCAGTACAAAAGAAAACAAAATATTAGAAAAAAAATCACTTTAAGTTTTAAAAATACATATTTAATTCATATAACTTAATAAAAAGATAATAACCATATCATGTCATAAAGCAAAAGTAAATTTTATTCGGTGTCACTAAGTTCAAATCACATAAATTAATGTCACTCATAAAGGATACCGCGTAAATAGTGTTATAATTTACTGTGTAAAAAGGAGACTCGAGTTAAAAAAGGCCGCGTAAATGGAGAGACGGATATAGGTACCATTTTATTCGGGAAAGTGTATAGTTAGGAAAGTCAATTATGTAAAAGTTATATAGGAAAATCTTTAATTCCTAAGTCCGAAAATATGATTCTTTTTTCAAAATAAACTCTTCAAAAATGTAAAGTGACGAATCAATTCTGCTATCAGGTTCAATTCTGCAACCAGAAACTCTCTAAAAATCAGTGTAATCTTAGCGTATGTGATTCTAAGCAATTACAACTTACAAAAATCGAAATCAGAAACGCACGAATATGCAACGTACAATTGTATCACTAAAACTATAATTATTCGACATTCAATCCTTAATATCGTTGATCCGTACACCAATCGTTACGATAACAGAATACCTATACTTACTCATTACGTCAAACTGAGGCAGCCATTTCTTCACCAGGAAGTTCTTAGGTTTCTGTTGCATATCGTCGTTCTCCCATTTCCAAATCACTTTTCTAGGAATAGAACCGAGCACGTTCAACAGAGCAGTCAATTTATCCTCCGGCATGGTGGAGGCCTTGACCATAGAGCCAAGATTAAAATACAGAACCCCCTCGTGAGCTTGATCAAGGAACTTCGCAATGTCCTTGGGTAAAGGATTTGTCTTTTTCGGAATATGGATCCCACCGATCTCTACAACGTTCGGCGGGTGCACTCGAGCTCCGAAAAGACTGAAATGAGTATTAACGAACACCAACGAAACATTGTGACTCATTTGCATTAGATTAGGAACCTCAGGACCATAAATGCGGTTAGCTAGAGACTGATCAGTCCACTGAAAAATGGTGTTGAACATCGAGCACGCGGTGCCTATAGCGACTACATTCCACAATCTTTTCAGGAAGCTCATCGGCTTCGATACTTCCGAAAACAACGCCGGTACGTGGCTGGCTTCATGACTGAAGCCCACTTCTCCGAAGACCCACGGCATCAGCAAATGCGTGGATATTTCGATGAAAGGCGCGTCGATTCGATGGAATACAGCGAAGAAGCAATGAGTGTTGAAGGCTTCGGTGAGTACCAGGTCGAACTGTTCCCCCGATTTAACGAGCTCCTTGACACGTGTGTTATTCAGACCTGCCTCGCAAGCCATAGACGCCATGTGATGCAACAGGACTAAGTTCCCAATCATTTTGAACTTCGGATTGATCATCTGGTGCAGATCGACCACTTCTACGAACTGATTTAACCCATCTCCGAGTAAGCTAATGTCTTTGTAATTTGGCAGAGGTTCCGTGGCGATGGCCTTCTCGGTTCTGGGAAAGTATGAGATCACTGTCAAATCGTGGCCTCGACGGGCCAATTCCTCAAGCAGAGGTTTGAAAATGTCGAAATGACTTTTCCCCATGTGTCCGAAGACACCGAGGATTTTCAGCTTCTTCGCAGGCACAGGATCATTAATACTAGCCGAGCAGCTCGCAAGAACCATCAGCGCGCACACAGGGATCCATCGAAACCGCGACATGACGGTCACCAATCTGCTTCGCGTGGAAGTAGTTGAAACTCTGACCGGCACTGATCCGAGTAGTGGATACTAATTGACTCGTAAGCGTGTGATTACGTCACAGAGTCCACCGAGCTCTCTACGTGTGGCGAAGCTTCTATATACATACAGTACGTTAGTAGCTTCAAGGAAAAACGAAACGCGCCGCCAGAGAACTAATGTCGCTAATATTGTTAACTGGAATGATTCGTGTAAACTGCCGTCCAATATGCGACGAATCACAATATTTGTGCCACATAATGCTCCAGTCACGATTTAAAAGAACTTCTGACAAACGCGGGATGATACTGCGTATTTGCAGCAGCTATCTGCTCTCAAACCGAAAGATAATACCTATACTATCTACTATCAGCATGACAAGCAAGATTGCAATGGTTAACCTGTTGCCGTAATTTAGCGAGTTTGACACGTGATACAAATTTTTAATCAAACATAAATATCATGAGTCTGACTCGACGTGACAACACAAGTGAGACACCGGTCGCCATAATTATGGCCTGGATTTTGTCCGGTTAAATGGTATGGCAAGGGGGTTAACGCTTGCCTTACGTTAGGCAATAGATCGAAGCTGCAATCAATGACCAACAGGCGAACTGTTTGCTATTCCGGGCTTGTGACATAAGAAGTCCACTCAACCGCTTGCCATCGGATATGTTTGCGCGGAGCAATCCAAAACCCGACTGCGTGTATATTTTTTTCTTATCATCAGTGTGATTAGCTGACTGAAATGAACACGTTAACACCTTTGACATGATAAAGAGTATTTATGATTCTTAAGAGATAAGTGGATAATTAGTTCATAATTTCTATAGTAGAAATGATTTAAATAAAAAAATGTTAAGTCGTTGATCTATATTGGAGCAAGACTTCGAGATAAACATCATCTATAGAACTCTTAATTCTACTTGATTTCTGTGAATATTATTGTGTACAATAGCTTTTCCGTATATATATATTCTCCGCTATACAAACTGTACATTTCGAACGTGTTCTTGATAAAATTGTTTGAGTCATTAGGATAAGAACGTAATAAGGTGGATAATGAATGAATAAGCAGTACACATTACACCGCAAAATAAAAGTTTGCTAATTAAACTTAATAACTGAAGTTCGCACGATACTCTGTCTATTTTCATTCAAGGTTGAATAAAGTAACGGAAAAAATTGTACTTAAATGTCTAGAGAGTAATTGTAAAGAAAAACTCCGATTCTGAAATCTGCAATGGATTCAGTCTTGAAGAAAATTGTTTAACGTCTATAGAGACGTTTGAATTCATAACGTTTTGGAAACGAGAAGCATGTTTATTCTCTCACCCGTTATACGAAGCAAAACATTAAAGCTACCAGCTTTAAAACGAGCCAGGCAAAACGTTGTACGACGTTTTATTGCCTAGTTACAGGAGTGTAAAAACGTCAACTTTTCAATTACAATTTAATAATCGTTCAACAAGTTAACTGCGTTTAACGAGTGTACACGTCATTTTAAAACTCTTTATGGTGGTATTTTTTTCAACGATGCATTATTTATTGTTTTAGACAAACACGTAATTCTTTTTCATTTCGCTTTAATTTTTCAGTAAAATATATCATAAGTGCGTTTGGCCAGCATTTGACGAATCTACACTTCACTTGATTTTATTGTGTGCGCAATAAAATATTTTTGGAAATAAGTTCCGCACTTAACGGATTAATTTTGTGAACTCACATTTAAGAATATAAACAAGAATTTAAGACGTTAGATTCCTTAGGCCGCTGAGCAAATGTGCTTTACTGGCGCTACTGTTGTTGGTAGACTATTTATAAAGATATGAGTTATTCGTCTTTGCTAAAGTTCGAAGTCTCACAAGAATAGATTCTCGTATACATAGACGTAATCTTCATTGTATCCGTATTGTACTGGAAAATTTTCAAACTCTAGAAGATGTTCTGACCGATTCAAATTTCAGAAATTTTCTTGTAACATAATTAAAAATTGATTTATAATACTATCTCCAAGCAAAAAGTTTTCAACGATACGTAATAGTACGAAGTTATCGAGAAATGCCATATTTTTATATATATAAAATACTAAGATTTGACTGTAAAACTGAAAATAATGCGAAATTCATCTATGTATGACATAGAGCATAGAAAAATATTCTATGCCTATTTACGTAATTGTCCATTTAGAAGATAAGAAAACCGTTCGTGAAGTTGAGGTATGAAAAATATTTTTAGTCAGATACAGAATTGAGTCACTCAGAAGCCAAAAGAAGGGCTTATTGACCTAGAAAAAAACGAAGAAACGTATAAATCCTTTAATAATTAAGAAAAATATTGTTTAGTTCATTAAAATTTACAAAATTCAGAAAATATAAAAAAAATGGACTTAATCGCATTGGCTTCTGAGCGATTCAATTCATTTGTATAAACAGATTAATTAGTAACAATACGGATAAATTGAAATTTAAAAAATTTTACTCTTATTGTTATAATGACAACAGCAATACCGACGATACTTTTGCACACGCTAGGCAAGTTGAATTCTCATATAATGTTACTAATTACAGTAATGTCCAAATAGACGGAATATGTGGATTTAGAAACAGATCAAAAATTGACATTGGACGATTACAAAATATAAAATAGTTCGCCTGAGAATAGTACTAACAGAACAATGAAATCAATATTGATTTCATAGATAACTTTTATAATTTCAAACACTTTGATATCTCTCAGAATGCTGTATTTACTGAAAGCTTTTAAAATATTTACAATTACGTTAAATATAGACGACCTACATATAGTCGTCAAATATGAAATACAACGAACACATTTCGCACATAAAGATATTTATGTATATTTATTCAATTTACATATTCAGTAGTTCAGAAAAATACATTTTACAAAAAAATATCAGGAAAAAATATGTTGTGTTGCAAACGTAGGTCTTAAATAAGTAATGTATTCTTTTAAATATGTTTATTACGTATAAATTCTATATTTAGAAGTAAACGATAATATGTACATTTTAAATTTTTTGCGTCAATCTGTTGTTTCTGAAATATGTTGTTTGTATTTTAACTTTAAAGGTTGTTCTTTTAAAATACAAATGTCAAATATCATCTTCCACTTCAGTTGATAGATTGTTTTAATCTTAATGGACAGATTGAAATCTTTGATGAGTCATATAATATGGTTGAAACCAATCTTTGAAGTTTAATGATAAATTACACTGTCCAACGCGATTCTTGTTTTGTAATAGTCATTATGTGATCATTATAGAACTCCTTGTCCTAAATACAAATCCGAAAACCAAATTACTGGGTCACCCTCACTTTTCAAAAAACAGGGGTTTCTGTAAAAACGGTCGAATTTTTGAAAGAAACAAATGTTACGTGAAAACTAAAAATGATAAGTAGTTCAAATTTGTCGTAAAGAATAGAGAGTTACCTGAATATGTACCTATAAAAAGAGTTCAAATTTGTTGAACAGTGCTGCCATTAATAATACATTTTTTATAAATTGTTTAATTGTCATTTTTATTTTGTTGTAAGTGAAGAGTAAAGAGAGAAAGTAAAGAAATAATTAAGAAATGGCTTATAATCAATTCAAACGATGTTTAATTCAATCAATGTCTATCACCTATGAATATTTATAACTAAACACTACAAAATGTTACACATTTGTATGAAGTATTTTCATGAACTTTCTTATGAAATGGTATAAGTGTTTATTTTTAATATAGGTTGCGTTAGAAAATAATGTGAATATATACATTTGACATTTTATATAAACAATATTTATTTAATATAAGAAAGTCAATTATAACATTTTTATACGACAATGACTGAGCAATGACTGAACAAGACATAAATTGTTTCTAATGAAATGGGTGTCATATTGATTGTATCACTATGTCATTTTTGTAATATATTGGGTCACATTTAAACAAAACAAACATTATTCTTGTATGTATTTAACAGTATAAGTGGGAAATGAAAAAGTATCTAATAACAAATAATATGTAGACATGTGTTTGAAATACGGCACAGTCAATGATATTGGGCCAGTGCTAAAAACTGATATATATACCGCTTGACGCCATTAAAACAACTGTATGTACTTTTGAATTATTGATTTTGAATTTTAAACGAATTCTATTCCACATATTTGCCGTTAATAAAACTTAATTACTAATGAAATATTAAAAACCAATCACTGTAGCAGTTCAGTAGCGTCAGTGTTAAATACCATTTTTAGTAAAAATCAGTTGACTTGACTGGTAAAATCACATTTGTCTCTTGTTCTGATATCATTAGATATAATTCCCATTAACAATCCAACTTATCTGGAAAAACTGTAATTACGATCAGATATCACTAATGGCAACAGATAATAAAAATATCAAAAAACGTATGATAGCTTATTTTCTGAGAATGCGAGTACTGGAAATTACGAACTCGAATCGTGTCGGTAAAAATGGAACAGCATCATACGAATATATATCCTATATATTTACCTGGAACTCCGAAGTGTTCAAATATCCCAAATCTAATTGAGATATACATACATTGAAATGGGTCTTACTGTATTCATAATAAATGGTCATACTAAATAGATTACAACGTAGGTTTTAGATGTAACCATCATTTTTAACCAATCGAATACTCAGTAAATATGTGCAAAATTTCCACGTATATGAAAATTGCTAATAACAGAAATTTTACGTAAAATAATTATTTTTTTAACAGAAAAAGAATGACATTTATAATAGATTCAAATGAATTTTATATTCTAGAAACTTCTATCATTGCTTATCAATAGAGTTACTATCTTTATTTACATTTATATTTTATACAACTATTCTAACGCTTAACTCCAAATCCAAAAACCAAATTGCTGAGTCACGTCCAGTTTTCGAGAAAACTAGGTTTTCATAAAAACGGTCGAATTTTTCAGAAAACCAAGTGTTACGTGAAAACTAAAAACGATAGGCAATTAAAATTTATCGCAGAAAATAAAGGAGACTTTCCCGAATACCT